GTCGCCATGGCGACCGTTCCAGCCACGCGGCGCGTTCAGGCCGCTTCGCTCTCGTGCGATCTGCCAGTCGCGGGCGGGAGCGACGGGAGAGCCCGGGGCAGCGGGACGAGACCCAGCACTGCCTCCGCACGTCCGGCCTAGCCCTCTTTCACCGGGCTGGGAAGCGATGCGCTCGCTCCCCCAATAAAAATGTCGAGGAGGGTCCTTGGCGCCCGACAGACTAAAGAAACCTTGCAATGTGGTCCAGGCGGTGGCAGAGGAAGGCCTAGTACCAGCCTGGACGAGCGCCAAATTTTTAATGGGGTGAGTCTCATCCTTGTGGGGCAGTTTCGTAGGGGGTGTGTCTTTAAGCCCTTTCTTCCTGAGGGGATCTTTATTTTCCTCCCCTAAAAAAGAAACGGTCTCCGAGTCCGAGAGGGCCTTCCAGGTCCAGCCATAAGCACCAGAGGTTTTGAGGAACCACGGGGTGCCTTCCTCTTAGCCTGTGCCCATTCCTATTTTTGTATTGGGGATTGACGCATGATGTGATTCGTTCGGCCTGGGTTTAGATTATTATGGGAATTGCGGTTTGTAAATCAAGTGGGATGGCTTCCTGCAATACCCAGCCAATTGCAGTTTATTCAATAGTTTATGATTGAAAACGGTGCCTTTGAGTTCATTAAAGCTCCTTTGTGAAAGTGTGCTGTCCATACCCAACCAACTGTGGCCTAGGCAGCAAACCATGGTTATGTCAAACACAGTTAAGGATGATATATGAACCCCATGCAGTTCAGTTCCTTCATCAAGGGGCCATGCCAGGGAGCAGTTGAAAAAAAGTGTTGCTGAGCGGCTCTGGTGTCCCAAAGCAGCAATTTAAAGCCAAGGGAGAGAGCAAGCGAAAGAGGGTGCTCTTTCCGTTCTCCTGCAGGAGAAAGAAGTGAAAAAAGGGGATTATCAGCAGAAGACACTTAAATTTGCCCCAGAAAAAGCAGACTTCTTCCCTCAGAGTTGTTCTCAGCTCTATTACCTGCGTAATTTAACTGTCAAGCTGATGTTCAGGTGAGGTCTTTGGTCCAAAAGGTAATAGATTCTCACAAAATGGTTGTGCTGACGAGCATGGCTGCCTCTTACATGATTTAGGATCCTTTTGGTAGGCTTATAATTTCTGACACAATCTATTTTCAGATTTTAGAAAAGCAATTGAAAATTTGTGGCTATAAGAATGATAAAGAAGTCACAGATCTGTACCTTGGTGAAAAGTAAGTTTTTTGGAGCTGTTATTGTAACTAAGCTGTACTATGTAAGACCAATGAATCTTTCAGCTACCAGACCGAATTTTTCTTTGGGCTGTTTCTGAATACATGTCTTCCACTATTTTAAATCAAAGTATGGTATGAGCTTGACTGTTCGTTCAGTCTTTGTTTTATTGGGCTAGTACTCATTTTAGCATAGTCTAAGTACCAGAATTTACTAAATGTTTAAAGTTGATATGATATGAAGAAAAATAAATCATTCTGGTTCCTCGCCAGCAAATTTATTTCTACATGTTCTTAAATAAATTGCTTACTTTAAAAAAATCGGATGCCGCCTTTCTTCTATATTAGAAAGTTATGGTTTTATTTCAAAAGGGAAGAGCTATTGAAGGATTCAGCTCAGCTGACACCAAATAATTAGGATGTAGGTCATTCTGAGAAAACAGTAGGGACTGACCTACCATATTATTTGAATGGCCTGTATAAGTAAGCCCTTTCCCTATTTTTGTTACATCATTTTCTCATCCCTCAACCCAAGACCACACAAAATGGGCTTCCTTCTTTTCTCCTATATTCTATGTAGAACTAAAATAGAAGCTTAAGAGTTTTGCATTCTTTTGACATAGTCTGTTCTGTGTTAGCCATTTCCTAACTAAAATTCCCTTTTTTTGGAAAGAGAGGTGTAATAATGAAGGTGCCCTCAGGGTCAAACCAGCCCCTTTCTCTGAGGTAATTTGGTTCTGAGGTCACCCGCGCCTGGAGATGATCAGTGACTGAAAAATTAGGTCTCCTTACTGCTGCCACCACCCCTTCATTACAACAAGATTTTCACTTCCCCACCAGACCTCTGGGGGAACCAGGAGAGGACTGAAGGGGAAATCCTCACCCTGCCCTGGGTCTGACTAAACTGCAGGAAGGGAAACCAAACAGCTTTGGGAGTTGATAGCTCAGCCAAGCTGAGATGGGTGCTAGAAGGCCACCAGTCAACTCCACGCTTTGCTAAACAAAACAAAGCAACCAACTTTATTAAAGACGACAAAGAAAGATAAGGTTCTGCACATACTATATAACACCCAGTTAAAAAGAGATAAAATACAAAAAAAAACAATTCTAGCCTACAACAAAACAAGTCCTTGATTTGCAGCCTTGCCTGAGTTAACCCTCATCTGGGGCTATAGCCAACTCCCAGCCTCCCCACCTAAAAAACTCTTACTACCAAAAACCTGTCAGCTGCTCCCCTCCACAAGAGGGTTTAGAAAATGGAAAGGTAATGAATTCAGGCAGAAAGATAAGAGAAATATGTTCATCTCCCTGAAATATAACAATTCAATTTTATGCAGAAATAGGTATTTCTAAAGGTAATTGATTTTAGTTGTCATGGGTATATCTAATTGGATAAGATTAGACTGTATTTGCTTTTCCCTTCCTTCAGTTTTCCAATACCCCAAATCTTGTGTCTGGCAAGATATGGATGGAACCAAGATTTTCTCAGGATGTCCAAATTAATTGGCCTGCCCGATTTGTAGTTTTGGTCAAAGATTTTGTAGAACTGTTACAGAAGAAATTTTAAAAAGATGTGAAGCCACTTTGTGAACTCAGATTCAATTATTTCTTGACTAGCGGAACTGTAGTTTGACACTGTATTCAGATCAGCAAACTATGATTTCCACTTTTCCTTTAAATCAAAATTTCTCATCTGTATTTAATCCTGCTTTTCAGGGAAGAAAAAGAAGAGTGCAGGTGTTCTTTATTTCAAATCATGGTTTGTTGGATTAGAAACAGTATGACCTGAAGTTCTGTTGACTAGATTGGAAATAAAATTGAAACTAAGCATTAAAAATGGCAATATCCAAAAAGCAGTGGGAAAATGTAGTATTCTAAAACATTGTGACAAATCTCAAACCAGCTATCTTTAAAAGAATTACAAAGACTGATTTCATTGCAAAATAACTGAGCTAAACTTTATTAGATTTAATACTGTTTACCAGATATTAAATGGTTGCCCAGGATTCTTATTATAATTGTTGATTAGCTCATCAGTGTCTTATCTTTTATTTTATTAATTGTCATTAACTCTTCTGTCTGATCTTTCTTTTACCCCATTTTAAATGGCTGTGCATATATAGAATATTTCTTTCTTAGTACTCTACTTCATTTAATGGAAGTTTATGTGATAATCAGTTGTTTAGTCTTTTTAAGATTCTATAAGACTCTTATTTTTATAGTACTGTTGACAAACAAAGGAAATTCTACTTCAGAAAATCTAACCACAAGGAAATTGATAATTTTATCAATACATCTGGATGCTGGAAGCCCGGAGGGCTTAGTTGTACTAAAATAAAACCCTAGATTTGAACCTTTGTGAAAATGGGCATTTTTTAAGAAAAGGTTGAAATAAAATTCTGCTAGGAATAAATTAGATCCCTTTGGGTTCAGTCTTCAGATGTATTTCTTCAGATTTTTGCCATTGATTTCAGTGAAATATCTCAAGAGTAAGTGGTTTGAGACTTGCAGCCAGATTACCTAAAGAGTAAAAATAGGCGGGAAGATGTAAAATAATGAAAACAATTAGAACTCAATTTATGTTTTTGGAGGAGAAATAAAAAGAAGAAACAATTGGCATGCTTAATTGTGTACTTTTGTATTCTGTAAATAAAATGATGTCAGTATTAAACATTTAAAAGCAAGCACTATTAGCAATACAAAATTAGTTATCTTAAGACCAAAATGCAGTATAAAATAATATCTCTTTTAGACTGATTTGTTCAGAAGAATTAAGCCAAATCCATTAGGCTTCTTTGTCATTTTATGGATTTGAAGTCTCACAGTAGACCACATTTAAGCTCACATATCTTACTAAACCATAGTTTGTAGACTAAACTATAATTGGCTAAGCTTATAATGTTCCTACCCATAGCTGGGTTCATGAAACATGCTAAACCAAAAATAAATAAAACAAATCATTATTTAGGGGCATTGTGACACCAGTCTATATGGAAGGCATACTACTTGTTATTATTTGTTCTAGATCCTGTGTGGACTGGACAAAGTTGTTTCCTCTTCCACCACAGAATTGTTTCAGATTATGACAAAACAGAAGTAATATTTTTAACTGGCTATAGTACACGGAGGGTTTTTTTAATCTAAAAAATTATTCTTATAATCCAGTTTCTCAATTGCAGGAAGTAAAAACAAACAAACAGATAAATAAAATATAAGATCCATGCCACATACATTGTGGTCAGTTTTAATTGGTTGATTTTTTTTACCCTTCTATTGTATTTCCTTCTTTCTGTTTTTATTATGATTCTGTGCTTTTAGTGCTTATGCTATATGGAGTACTATTTTAAACATACTTCTGCAGTGGTTTGATGTCTAGTTGGATATATACTGGTTTCATTTTTTAAAAATCTGAGATTTTTTTGTTTTGTTTTGTTTCATTAAAATAAGTTAAAGAAAATCAAGGATGGATATGGAGAAGCTGATGCAAATCCAAATCATGTTAGTGATGAATTTTCCAGTCTCTTCTGTCTATGCCCTTTGCATCATACTTACTCTCTGTAGTTGTTAATATAGGTGGTCCTCAGTTAACAACCACTCGTTCAGCAACCATTCAAACTTACGATGGCACTGAATGATCGGTACCTACAACTGGTCCTCCAGTTCCAGGTGTTGCAGCACCCCTGCGGTCATGTGATCATGGTTTGCAACCTACCCTTCTGGCTTCCCCTAAGCAAAGTTAAGTGGGGAAGCCAGCAGGAAGTCACAGTCACATGCTGAATGACAGTAACCTGGGATTGCCAGAACTGCTGTCACTAAGCGGCACAGTCACATGACATTGTGTTTTACGACCGCATCACTTAGTGATGGAAATTCCGGTCCCAATTACTGTTGTTAAGCAAGGACTACCTATAACTATGATAGAATAAGAATATATATTGTTTTACCTTTAATAATATTTAAGCATGAGTGCTGCATTACTGTAGTATATTTCAGTGGTCACTGCATATTAAAGTTATGAGTTTCTCTTTCAGTGGATTAAAAGATGTCCCTGATTTATCACAGTTCCGGAAATTAAGATATTTGTGGCTAAACCATAACAAGGTAACAAATACAGGAATTTTCACCACCCCAATTTCTCCTTATCTCTGATGACCCTTTTCAAATCATTCTTTCAAGGACAGCACCTTTGGCTGCATTCACAAGTAAGCCAAGATTTCAGAATTATAATGAAAATTATAAAAGCTGTAATTGCCTGGTTGAAACATAATTTATGCATGGTGGATGAGTTAATTTATCGTGCTAAGCTAAAATAAATATGCATGTTTAAGACTCTTCAAAAAACTCTATAATATTCCATATAATTTAATCGTGCATACATTTCAGGGATAGTCTGGCAATTTTCTGGAACATCACAAACTGCTTCCCAGGTCTATGGATTACCTTCTGGAAAATGTCCAGACTTTGCCAGAACAGTCAGATTGGTGAGATAACGAAGAAATGGAATGTTCTGGATTTCTCCAAAAGGGTCCAGTTCCAGAAAAATGGTTGTGCACATCTCTAATCTCTTTAATTCAGCAGACTGATTAGGATCAATTTCCCAAAATATCCTAGGTAATATGGCAACCATATTATACAGAATAATAGTTCTTGTACCTATATTAATAATATAGTATTAATACACTTATATTAAATATGTTAAACTCTGAATATCTGTTGGATCTTTTATATAATTTGTAAAAATATGTCATATATGTATAAACATATATAAATATTAGATACTGCAGATTATATATTTTTATTTATATAAATAAATACTTATATATCTGTTGTTACAGAAATTTTAAAAAAATCAACAAAGCCATTATAAAAGTGACAACTTCTATAAAAGTAAAATAACAAAGCTATTATTCTAATTTTCATAATTTAGATTCAGTATGTAACTTTCATGAAGTATAACTGCTGCTTGACGGAATTGTATCTTCATAATAATGATATCAGAAATATAACAGGTACTGTCTAAACATTATTTCCCTTGTTTTGATTTTTCTGATTAAGAAATAAGCTTAATATGTTTGCAAAGGACAGTAAGAATGTTCTTTTAAATATGTAGTGTTTTGTGAAAATATAGACACAAGAGAATAGTAATCTAGAAGACTACTTTGGTTCCAGTGGAGTGAAGAATAATCATTTGTTCATTGGCAGAGTGATCTGTATGAGATGTCTGAGTTTTGAATCCTAATTCTTGACCAGAAGAATTGTACCAGAAATTAAGTTGTATATCAGAAAAAGTAGATATTTATTTATTTATATTTATTTATATTTCACATTTGTCACCATCCATCTCACTGCAGAGTGACTATCTCACTGCAGAGATATATGTGAAGTAAATGAGTTATCTGAGAAAAAAAACAGTTTGTGGATTAATGTTTTAGTTGTGAAAGCTTAAGTGTGTTAGAAATAGTCCGGCAATATATTAGCTTGGATGAGCCAGAAATTTGAGATGGCCAGTTTTAAATTCTGTATCAGTGCTGAAGCTAAATGGGTATAGATCTAGTGGATTTTTTGTTGGGATATTATTAGGAGCCCTGTGTAATAATAGAAATGTACAATAAAGGAATAACCTTGCTGTTTTTGAAATTATAGCAGTCACATAGCTACATTCAGTAAATGTAAACTATTTAGCTTACTGTATATCTTGTCACAACTTGTATGAACTGAACCTATATTCAGCAAAGAAGACACAATAAAAGCTCCTTAGTGATAAATCTGCCTGTCCAGTTTTCTGTCCATCTCCCTGTTCAGGCATGACTGACACCTATTGAGAGACTTTTTGTCTTTTTGCCTTAGCTAAGTTAGGGCTATCTGCCAATCCTATCAAACTTTACTGGAATGAAATTTGCTGTAGTCACTAGCAATCTCTATTTTGCCACAAGCAAGATGTCACCCTTATTTACAGGGCATACTAAGGGCAAAGATTGGTGAATTCCCCACATCTATTTTCCTTCATTTCCAGAAAATATTATTAGCAGCTGAGAAAACACCAATTCCTCTCCTTAACATGGGTTTGAGGAGGAGGCAGGTTTTGATGGATGAGTAGTCTGGCAGCTTTAAATATCTGTCAAAACTAACTCTGCAAGTATTTAATTGATTTGTAACCCACCATTTGGATATAGGAGCTCAAGGCCGTGTACATAGTGCTCTCTCCTATTTTTCTCTGCAGCAATAACCCAGCATGGAGTCTAGGACAGCTCAAGAGTTCGTGGCCACCATAGGAACTATGGACCTGAGCCAAATTTTTTGAGGGCCTGACATATAGTGGGATTGTGTGTTAGACCTATTTTTTTTCTCAGGGCAGTTGTGACATGATCTGGGAGTGGAGGATCTTTGCCATGGTCAAATCTCTTTTTAACTGGGATGCTAGTGAAAAACTAAGTATACCTTATGATTCAATAGCTTGTAGAACCACCATTAGCAGCAATAACTTGAAGTAATAATTTTCTGTATGACTTTATCAGTCTCTCACATCTTTGTGGAGGAATTTTGGCCCACTCTTCTTTACAACATTGCTTCAGCTCATTAAGGTTTGCGGGCATTTGTTTATGCACAGCTCTCTTGAGGTCCTGCCACAGCATTTCAGTCGGGTGGAGTTCTGGACTTTGACTGGGCCATTGCAACACCCTGATTCTTTTCTTGTTCAGCCATTCTGATGTCGATGTGCTGGTGTGCTTGGGATCATTGTCCTGTTGCATGACCCAGTGTCGGCCACGTTTTTGCTCTCGGGCTGATGGCCTCACATTTGACGCTAGAATACTTTTGTATACAGAGAAGTGCATG